TATATAAGGCTAAATAATGAGATCGTGGTTGGAGGGGAGGCTAAGAGGGAAGGGGTGGGACAAAGAAACTCACAGCACGAACGCCACTGAGGTCTGTGAAGGATGACAGAGGCAAGCAATTTGGAGGCGATGGAGATCAGACTGATTTCTCTATGGCTGCCGCATTCCGATCTTGAGCCTCCGTTGAAAATTGGGACTATGACGGAGCGGTTCCAGTCGGTTGGGACAGCTTCATGCTCTCACAGTTTCACAAGTAACTCGTGTAAATCATCCGCAAGAGCAGATCCTCCGAATTTGAAGAGGGCTGGAGGAAGATCATCAGGTCCCGCGGCTTTATTTAACTTCAACAGTGAGATATCACGTTCGACTTCTGAGTGAGAGGGTGGATCTCAAGGGACAACCCAGGGAGCTGGGGGTCAGTGGTCGGCAAAAATGTAACAATTCCGACCGATTAAATTGCCTTCCAAACTGCTCAGCCCAACGCCCTAAGCGTTTTGACAAGTTGTGGATAGGCTGTCCACTCTCGTCACAAATTGTTTCACTAACATCAGGTCTCCTGCTGCCCGTTTCCCGTATCAGCCTGATTAACTTACGATGGTTACCAAGGGCAGCGGCCATTTACATCTCTGAAGCACGAAGAGACCACCAGGATTCGCGATCTCTCTTCTGGCTAGCACGGAGTTTTGTCCGGAGCTCTTTGCGAGTTTCATTGTGTTCGCTTCCATCGGAATATGCCGGCGAGCATCTATAAGTTCCAGAGAATGTGAAGAGGCCCAATATCCGTGTTGGTGATTAGACATGCCACATGTGGATTTTCCTGCTGCTAGTAAGGATTGGTAAAGATGAGACCAGTGAACTTCAACTGCATCCGGTGAGCGCTTACTCAGCTCGCATGACAGCGTACTTTGATAGGCATTCAGAACAGCGGGTTTCGCCAGTTGGCTGGTGTCAATGCGCTCACAACGTCGTCGTGGGCGTCCGCCAAAGCGCATCCGCAGGTGAGCACATCCAAGTGCATGGTCGGTGTCCACACCTTTGCTCTAAATCGAGCGACCGTTCTGGACGCAGCCTCTCCATCGGTGACTTATCGCAATGTGATCGATTTGCGTCCATAGCTGGTTCGATGCTGGTGGTTGCCAAGTCACCCTCTGGCGGGTGCTGTGTCGGGAATTAGTGCTCGCAAGAAATAAGCGAGCATCTTCACACAAAGAAGTAACCGCTCACCGTTATCATTACGGGAGCCTACACTATGTTGGCCGCCCAGATGCAGTTCATCAGTGGATAACTTTTCAACTTGAGCGTTCACATCCTCAGCCAGCACAACAGTGTCCGAGCTTCTTCTGTGACGAAGGAGCTCGTTCAACTGGCGATAGAAGTCGTCTTTTACCGAGTCATCGCTAGAGTTTGTGGGTGCATAGGCAGCGATGACGAATAGACACCTGTTAGTCCCGCGCGACTTCAAAGCTTTGAATGTGCCAGCCAATCGGATCGCACACAACCGGCTACTGATTGGAATCCAGTCAACCAGGGCAGCCCGGGGATTCAGGGCAATACCAACACCGGCTTGGCCGGTGCTCGAAGCTGCATCGTCACCGGATAAGCGCAATGAGAAAGTGATGCTGATGTCACCTGAAGGGGATAGCAGATTGAGTACGGAGCTCGAGTCTTGCAAGCGGGTCTCCGATAAGCAGCAGATATCGATCGAGAGGGTCTCTAATGTTCTGGTAAGTGCTGCCTGTTGACCGATCTGTAGTAAGTTGCGAACATTGAGTCATGCCAATATGAAGGATGACTGAAGGGCTACAAATGGAAGCCGATGAACTGGAATGGGCCGCTTGCTTGGACATGGGCCTGTTGGCAGTGCAGGAATGACGCTCCGCGTTCACATGTGAGTTAAAACTAAAAGCCAGGCGACTATTGAAGCAAGGTGGGTGAGGGCCGAGAATTGGGGGGTTAAAAGCAGGGGGGACAAAGTGAAGCTGGAACGGGACGATAAGGGTGAAAAAGCGCAAGAGCGGGAATAAGAAGACCGGAAGTCTTGAGCAGTAGCATCCAAATCCCTATCCATCCTGCCAGATGCAGCATATAGGGCACCATTGATTATCCTCTGCGGTGGCCAGAGAAGCAGAAATTTCTTTGAAGTGAGATTCATTGTATTGCGTGGGCAGAATACTGTCAGGTGGCGCAGGCCTAGACAGGAAAACGATTACGGTTCTCAACCAAAGCCTTTGGTTAAAAATCCTTACCGCAAGGCAGCGGGTTTGGCGTTGGGCTACAAGGAGTCCGTTTTAAGGAAAAAGGAGCCATCCTCATTCCAAACCCAACCTGGAGGATCAGGAGGCTGAGTTTGTCTGGCCTCTGACCATTGCCCAATCTGGTATGGGTGGCTCTGAACGTGCAAAATTGCACCACCCAGTATGGCTCAATGGATCACTGAGGCACACAAGCCATCGCACCACGGTAAGGTCCAGTCTCATTGCGATGTACAGAATAGTATTCCCCGTTGCTGACTCATCAACGTCTCGTTTGCACATCGGGATGCTTAAATTCTGTGAAATTCGAACTAGAGTTTTGAAAATGGGCACGGAAGAGGCTAAACCTGTAACGTCCATTTTGTCAACAGCCATCACCCTTCGCCTGGACCCACATTATTGCCCTAATTCCCCTTGAATTCACTCTGTTTGAACGTTCCACGTATACCGCCCTGCATGACCCTTAGTCGTTTGTTTTCCATGCCCACCTCACATTGGTGACACCACCTGTCTCGCTACTTTCTTTGATGCATGCTCCACTTTATCGATCACTGCTTCGCACTTGTTCCATTTGCGTGTTACTATTGAGGTCAGGGTAGACCGGAGATTTTGTGGGGTGGACACACCACCCATCCGGCTGACATGTGCCCCTAACCTCAGGTCTTCATAATGTGTCCCCCATTGAACCTGCTTGATGTGATTGGACTAGTGGCTGTTGGTTTCTTGATTGGCTCACTGGTGCATGTCTCGCATGTCATGTAACCGCGCTGGGTCATTTTGCTGACTGGACGACCGTATTGATGTCCTGTTCTTGTAACGGCCAACTGATTGCACTTGTCTTTGTTTGAGGACATTGTTGGTATGTTGTCACTTTGATCTTTTACTCTTTGTATAATAGAACACCGTAGTTCAGCATCGACTGTGGCTTTTTGTTTCTCCGGTGCCTACACACCAACTCCGATCCTTATCGCTCATTGATCCCCTGTCGGAGGCCGCGAATCGGTGCCCTACGCGTTGTCCAACTATCCTAAGCGATTTTTGAAGCTTCCAAAACCTACTATCCATTTTTACAAGCTACAAAGAGTCAACCTTCTCATGGACGCACATTACCTTTGTCTTTTAAGTAAATAGTTATTAAGGGCCACGCCTTTCAGATAGGTCGACGCAAATATGTCACCAAGTAGGTAGGATAAACTCTAGAGTGAAGAGTAGAGTAATGGGGTAAGGAAAGATTCGTAACTGCTCTTTCGTTCTACCTTCGAAGTTTGCGTACCCGCGCCTCAAGTCTAAACACTGAATTAGAGAAACCAATGGGTGGACTGCAGTTCATCACTCACCGTCGGTTATCGACTCAGGTAAAAGTAAACATGAGGGGAACTTTGTGGTAACTGATGAAGTCAATAACGAGGTCGATAAAAGGAATAATTGGAAATTCCTCCCCATTTTACCTAGGCTTATAGGAAATAGGAGTAACCAGTGCCAAGTGCGGTGGACAAACAATTTTTTGGGAAGCCACTCAACTGACAACTGAAAATCCCTCTTACGCCGCGACTGATAACACTGTGCCAGTTGTCAGGCAGCCTCGATCAACCCGTAATGATGGATGTTGGAACTGGTATCTTAGGTGTTAGTGTTCTCTCAGAATCCCTGGAGCTTTTGCTGTATGACGTCATGAGTCATTGTAGGGATGAACAATAGGATATTTTCGACAAGCAGACACCTGTGGATCACCCTACTATTCGATCCCAGTAAATGCGTTATCGTGAAGAAATTTGATCCGAGTGTAGTACGATCCTTGAACTGCACATATGCACTCACTGTTTCCTATGATCCAGTAACTAGGTAACTAAAACTTCATGTTACTCTGGGTCATCAAACTCAAATTGTAGATCAAACGACACAATAAGCTCAGACTAAGCTCACGTTTTCTTAGCTGCAGCTGTTCCTTATTTAACAAACTACTGCTCTTACGGTGGATCATTTTAGTGGGCAAATTAAAAAAGTTTGTGTAAGACCTATGAGTGCCTCCTAATGTTTTTATACCAACTTTGTACATAATCTTGCATATAATTGGATAGTGTTCAAGACTGCTGTTTTTGAATGCCCTCAATCTAGAGTATTATACGATAACTATTATATCGATACCTACAAACTTTTTCTTAGCTATGCGTTATATTTGTTATGGTTGAGAGTTCCACTTTCAACTGACTCTCACGTTTGATTGACGAGGTTTGTAGCATTTGCCGTGTGTCTTGGTTTCTAACCGCTGTGTCAGGCGCTACATAAGCAGCCCAATCGTCTAGTACACATGGCGATAGCAGCCAGCCGCCAGGTGTCGAATTCCACTCCCAGGTGGGGCTATATCTATCTGATGAGCCCAAAGCAGGATGAAAAGTGTCGTGGATTGCGGTGATGTAACAGAGGAAAACAGGAACGCTCTACTTGACGCTCATGCACTTTATGAGGCTATGCGTACTGGTGGGCTATTTATCCTGTGGTGAAACAGTGGGTGAGCTTGATGTCACCAAAAAAGAGACGACTTTCTAACTCTTATATAGGTCATTAGGACATCCACGATAGTCAGTTACCAGAGTGAGTTAAGAAATTAAAGTAGAGGAATGTTTAGATGTCTCATCCTTCTAAGATTAGGAAGACAGAGCATTGTTCAGGCAGTAGATAACTTTCTAATGTTTGCTGTCTTTAAATGCCAATCGACCGAATATGCACCACTTAGCTTGTAATTTTTAGGCTGACCGCCGAGAAGTGGTGACGGATCCTGATGACGCAAATCAAAAGTCGATTGCGGACTGGCTGAAATTGGAGACCCCTGAGCAGCTGGAACCAGATCTAGTTGCAGCGACGTTTAAATTACCCCCTGTTCAATCAAGGAAGGTGAGAAAAATTCATCGGAATGATCCCATCAGCGCATTCACTTTATTAAAAAAAATGGAGCAGCCCAGTCAGGGTCATATTATTGCTCTGGCCGATAAGCCAAAGGCCTACAAGTGGATTGCAGGCAACTATGGAACCCGACTTTCTAACCGTGCGAAAATACGCTGCCTCCCAGGTCATTTGGGAGCCATGTCCTCGTTAGTACTGCAGCAAGTGAAACCGCCGAAACCAGCTATAGTGCGTTTTCCACCACCAAACAGTCGCGCCATCTACATGCTCAAGAAGTTAGCGGACAAGGAGAGAGAAAATCTACACCAATGTGTAGAGAATTCCAAAATCTTTATGGAAAAATTGAACAGAGCTGATGGTAAGTGTGCGTGTTTGAGAAAATTAGCTTTCTTTCCTTTGTTTTCAGGTATTACATCCTTAGGCAAGGCGTTAGACAGTCTACTTGGCTTGGTTCGCTCGTCGGTTTTAGAAGTGCCATATCCGCCGAATGAAAAATGGAAGCCAATCTGATTCTGTACACACTATGTTAATCAAAACAGGCATAAAAAGATAATCAGTTTCAACCCACACATCGCTTTCTTCAAGGCTTTCATTATAGTCGAGGGATGTATACGCATGGGTGAACCGGGATTTGCGATGAATTCCATGCGAGCACCAATTAATTTCTACTGTTGATCCAATTGAGTTTGCTGCTTTTGTAATATTTCGTAGATAATGCCCTTGGAAAAGTGAAAGACAGGGTTGAAAGCAGATCTCTTTTCGGTAGTTCACACCAAGCAAATACAATTACAGGACAGTTAAATGCAACAGCAGACTGGTGAAGCCAAAAATGAGGACGGATGGGACGGTTTGAACAGATTTAGCATGTTCGTTCGCTGCTCAAATCGATTTAATCAAGTGACATCATGATAGGGCTAACAGATATGCGCCACGAAGCAACTTGTGTAAACAGAGGAAGTAAAAATACTGACAAAATATAGACTAGATAATTACGTAAATAGACAACACCCGGTTATTCGTAATACTCCGGGGGAACGACTTCTCGTCAGGCTCATGGCAAAGTTAAGGGTTGTAAAAGCATCCTATGCTTGCATAGTTCTGGTTGTGTTAGCCTGATGGTGTTGGGTTCACCCGTCTGCAAGAGGCTTTTCCTTAAGCCTTTCTGGTATCATCTCCGTCCAGCATAATAGATCTTGAAGGCATCTTTGGTCAAAATTTGATGCCCACTTTGAAGCAAATGTTCTAAGATCGAACTGCTGATACTTCTGAGGGTGCCTCTCCGCAGTGACCCTGGACAGTGCACAGCCATCCGTACAGACAAACGCCTGGTAGTATGAAATCACTTCTTTCGAATGATTACCCTGAACCTTTCATCAAAAAGCACACGATGACGCGTAATCGCTTTAAGCCCGTAGAAACGGTTTCGAAGAAGGACCTGTTTCTCTGTTAATTTTAAAGGAGATATCGCTTTCGATCGACCGAACACGAGACATTCTAGTGCCGTAGCAAGGACCTACCCGGCAGTCCACCCGCACGTACTTGCAGAGACCGCACAATTTCTAGCCCAACAGGTTAAAGACAGAATGCCAGTGTCATCCGAATCGTGCATTCTTGACCAGTTTAGTTACACCTGTGGTGCAACGTATCTCAAGCATATGATCAGGCATCTGTCGGTACGGATTGCTGTGCACTGTCCAGGGTCACTGCGGAGAGGCACCCTCAGAAGTATCAGCAGTTCGATCTTAGAACATTTGCTTCAAAGTGGGCATCAAATTTTGACCAAAGATGCCTTCAAGATCTATTATGCTGGACGGAGATGATACCAGAAAGGCTTAAGGAAAAGCCTCTTGCAGACGGGTGAACCCAACACCATCAGGCTAACACAACCAGAACTATGCAAGCATAGGATGCTTTTACAACCCTTAACTTTGCCATGACCCTGACGAGAAGTCGTTCCCCCGGAGTATTACGAATAACCGGGTGTTGTCTATTTACGTAATTATCTAGTCTATATTTTGTCAGTATTTTTACTTCCTCTGTTTACACAAGTTGCTTCGTGGCGCATATCTGTTAGCCCTATCATGATGTCACTTGATTAAATCGATTTGAGCAGCGAACGAACATGCTAAATCTGTTCAAACCGTCCCATCCGTCCTCATTTTTGGCTTCACCAGTCTGCTGTTGCATTTAACTGTCCTGTAATTGTATTTGCTTGGTGTGAACTACCGAAAAGAGATCTGCTTTCCAACCCTGTGTTTTGTACTATTTGCATGATAATATTTTGACCAACCATCTCCGTCACCGGACTATTACAACTTCCGCGGAGTGGTTAAACGACAGAAGTGACACTACTTGAAACGTTTACAGAAAACATGGTCTAGTTCACACACGCTCAACATACACTTGCTCAAAAGCAATCGATTCTCACCTGTCGTGTGGCTAGGTGAAAGTACTAAGCTGACATACAAAGACGCTCGCTGGAACTCGATCGATTTTCACCTGCTGTTTTTCTTGCTGACACACATGATCTCTCTAACAAGTAGTCTCTCAAATTCGTGTTATGACTGTGTAGTAGATTATGGCATACGTGATTTGGGTTACTCAACATCCGGTAGACCATTATTAGATCGCTACGTAAGTGCCGATACTGGACGCTTTGCAATCTTAGAGTCCACAGCCTAAATTGACAAAGAAGATGAAACAACCGTTTGATGTGCTTAGTGGATCTTCGCTGTTCAGGCTAAGCGCTGAGAGATCCATCTTTTGCCAAAGCTACTATGCCTGGATTGCGTATACCACACGAAGCCCCACGTGTGATAAGCGACTGTGAACAGTCAGACCGATCGAACTGTCCGAATGCCCTCCGCAGCATGCCAATGACTTGGTTTTCAGTCTTTGTTGCCTTCTCAGGTTGCTCTGAATAGTCCAACTCAGCCTATAGTATTACTCCAAGCTCGCGCTCCTGGAGGACCGCTTGTAGGACATGGTCGCCAAGCTTGTATGTGACGCTCCACTGGTGACGAATGTGGACCAACTTACACTTTGGCGAGTTAAACTGGAGCAGATTGTGGGGAGACTACTCATGCGCCCTGTCCAGGTCTCGCTGAAGTGCATCATGATCTAATTGCTCGGCAAGCACCCGCCACACCGTAACATCATTGGTGAAAGAAGAAAAATCCGAAACAAGTAAACGCGTAAGCTCGTTAATGGACACGTGAAACGGGCGCGGCTCCAATGCTGCTCCTTATGAAATTCCACATTTGACATAAATCGGATGGGACAGCTTACTTGGAACTTCGACCTGCAGTTACCGTTATTGCAGCAACTTCCTGACCCAACGAAGGAGTGGATCCCCAACTCCATAGATTTCGAGCGTGTGAAGCAGAATGCGGTGGTCCAGTCGGTCGAAGGCGTTGGAGACGTCGAAGTAACTACTGTCGGTCCCTCCACCTGTATGAGCCATTTCTGTACAACTACTGCTTGCAAGCAGTAGGTTGGTAGTGCATGAACGATGTTGGCGGAAACCGTATTGCCCGCGTGCTATGATGTTGTGGCGTTCTAAATGGCCGACTATAGCCTCAGAGAAGATTGCCTCCATCACATTTGAGGGCACACGGAAAAGGGCTCCTGAGCGATAGCTTTCGGCTTCCGAGCGATTGGCGCTTTTGAAAATTGGTGTTATTACCCTATGTCTCCACATGATAGGCACTGTTTGATTATCCATGCATGTTTGGAAGAAATACGCCTGTGGTCCCGTCAGCGTTGTTGCTGCTGCTTCCAGCTCCCTCGGGTGAATACATTCGATTTCGGGAGACCTGTAGGTGTGTAGTGACAGCAGTTCCTTTAACACAGCATTGGCAGTAGAAGCGCTGTTAGTAAATGTTGAAATTAAGCATAGGGATTTGGGTATGTAGCAGTGACGGTCGTTCCGTTGGAACCTCGAGGCATTCTACATCCGTAGTGTTGGCTGCTTCTTTAGCACTCTGTGCCACTCCGATTGCTGTGCATAGTAGGGGGATGCCGTGCTTAACCTCCCGTATGGTGTTAACATGCTTATATAGGAGCTTTACATTGTTGGCAAATTTACAAGTCAAATGTTGTTGATGAGACACTTGGTCCTCACGGACCCTCATGTTACTATGGTTGTCCTGGGTCACGTAGAGGCTTCAGGCTTGGGAACCAGGATAAAATGTGCAACTGTGCCAAGTTGCATTCCTAAGTCATAGATTTGCGAGTTACACTTCTGAGGAACCACGATGGATTGGCGAAAGGAGTCCTCTTAGTTTCTGAAGCAGTTTCGATTAGATTACAGTAGCGTCCAAGAAACTACATCCAGGCGCTATTAGGTGGGACATTTAAAAATATTCCTGATCGATCATTGCAACCGCATCGGTAGTGAGGTTGTAGATTGTGATAATACGTGTTGGTTCGGTTTGTTCCTCCGGATATTCAGCGTAACACACCTAGTTATAAAGTATGGTGACATGATCACTTAGTTCTATTGGGGTGCCTATAAATAGCCTGTCCACCATGAGTTCCACATTTGTAAGTACCATAATTTGTTGTCAGTTCTGCATCTGGTAGGTGAGGTGGTGTGATTGCATAGTGTAATACGTGTGATATGATCGTGCAGTTCGGCTTTGAATATTTTGCTGGGGGAGGGATGAACGATTACCACGAAACAGCTGTCATTGTATCTGGGATGCAAACGGTAACCTGGTAAATCAGTGACCCGCGTCCCCGGATCATCCAATGCTTGCATCTTAAGTCGTTGCGATGGCATTATAGGATATTACCCTCTCCCTGCTGGGATGATCGTGCCGGAACAATGACAATCGCTGGATCGCGATCTCGGCATCCGTAATATTTGAGCACCACCAAGTCTCGGGTATGTAGCTGAGATCCCAAGCCTTTGTTGCCCGGAGCAACTGCAACTCAGTGCTTTTGCTGAGGAGGCTTTGAGCATTGACCTACATGCTGGAAAGTGCTTTGGTTCCCAGCAGCAATTCGAAACACTTATTGCTCGGATGAGGTTGTGCCGACCGTTGTATGGACGGCCGCTAGCAGTTTTTTGGTGCTAGTATCAGCCAGTCGCTTGAAGTTGGGTTCGGTGGCTTCGTAGTTAGGCCACCTGACAACTCAGTCGGTACAACGCATGGGAAGTGGTTAGTGGATTGCATAGGAAGATACTCACTTCTTTCAGACCTACTTCCTGTGTGAAGTTCGAATGCGCTCCCACTTTGCTTGCTTGCTAGGGTGGTACATTGAGTCGGACGACAGTTTCGCTCGCCTCTGTGAACCGAAGCTTGGTTGGTAGTTTGTTCAGAAGTGACTGCCATCATTCTAGTAGTCTAAGTGCCATCTGCCTAGTTTGTAACATAACCTTATTTATCCTTGGGTTGCACCTATTATAGCTTGCCGATCTTGGCAGCCTCGAGAGAGAAGTAGCTACAATGTCATCCAAAAGTGTCGCGCGAATATAGCGTCACTGCTCCTGGTCATGGGTTTGTGTTTCCGATGCATCGTGCTCGTGAGACTGGGAAACGCG